ATTATTTATTCTATCAAAATATATAGAGAGAAAGTTTCCTAAAGCTTTTTATAAAGAATTATCGAACCTCCGCAATTACTTTTGAACTGCCTTAAGTATATGAGGTTTGTCGAATTCCTTGTCAATCAATACGATATTCATTTGATAAGTATCAGTCAGTAATACAAAAAAGCCTTGAAAACTAAACCATTCTAGACTTTTCTATTATTCACTAAATGAACATCATCTTAGTCGAAAGCCGATTTTCACATTTCGAGATGTTCCATAATAAATTCTCACAGCTTAGCCATGGTTTTATAAAATTCAGCTATTATCTTTCATCGATAACACTCGAAACAAAAATCTATATAAATATCTTTTATTTATTTCAGGTAATGGAAATGGTTGATGGTGAACCACCATATTTCAATGAACAACCATTAACTGCTATGCGTAAAATTCGTGATCAACCTCCACCAAAATTAAAAAATCCACATAAAGTAAAAAGCAATGCTTTTTTTATTCTAAATAATTATCTGTTGTTTGTTTTTTTTGTTAAGACTTCATCACTTTTACAAGGTTTTCTTGGTCGATGTTTAGTACGTGATCCATCTCAACGAGCAACAGCTATTGATTTACTTGATCATCCATTTCTTCGTCATGCTGGTAATCCATCATGTCTTCAAACACTTCTATCACAACAAACAATAGTTAAAGGAAATTTACATACATCATGATCAGAAATAGAAGTCAGATGTATTTTCTTTTTGTTTGTTATGTTTATTCATTTCATAATCATTCCATTAAATAATGTAGATTAAAATTCTGTTTTTTTGTTCATTCACTTTCTGTTTTATTTCATTTAAAAAAAATAATGAAATTATGTGCAATCTTTTTTTTTTCATAAAAAAAAATACATCATAAAATTTAAGTTCTACAATATAATTTATGTATATCATAATTTCGTTTATCATCAAATGATTTATTACAATTTGTACATCGATATATCATTTTATTAGTTGATAAACGTTGTGTTTTAGCTGATGATATAGTTCGAGAATTTTTTGTTAATGAACTATCTCGTCGTGTATGTTCGATAGTAGTTGATGGACGATTTGATATTATTAATCGACCTTTGGCTAGAATAAAAAAGAATTTTTTGTAAGATTAAACAAAAAAAAAAAAAA